ATTAGCTGGGTATGGTGACACACAGCTACTCAGGAGGCTGAGGTAGGAGAATCCTTTAAGCCCAGGAGTTAGAAGCTGCAGTGAGCTGTTATCACACCACTGCACTCCAGGCTGGGTGTCAAGATCCTTTCTTGTCTCAAAGGAAAAAAAAGGAGGGGATTTCCAATTATATCGTTTGGATGTCCCATCCAATTCTTATGTTGGTGGGACGGGATAAAAGATGTTTGGATCGGCTGGGCGTGGTGGCTCATGCCTGTAATCCCAGCATTTTGGGAGGCTGAGGCAGGCAGATCATGAGATCAAGAGATCGAGACCATCCTGGCCAACATGGTGAAACTTCGTCTCTACTAAAAATACAAAAATTAGCCAGGCATGGCGGAACGCGCCTGTAGTCCCAGCTACTCGGGAGGCTGAGGCAGAAGAATCGCTTGAACCCAGGAGGCGGAGGTTGCAGTGAGCCAAGATTGCGCCACTGCACTCCAGCCTGACAGAGCAAGACTCCGTCTCAAAAAAAAAAAGAAGATGTTTAGGTCGTGGGGGCAGACCCTTCGTGAACACCTTAGCACCATACCCTTGTTGATGACTGAGTCCACCCAAGATCTGATTGCTTAAAAATGTGTATGCCAGGCGCGGTGGCTCACGCCTGCAGTCCCAGCACTTGGGGAGGCCGAGGCGTGTGGATCACCTGAGGTCAGGTGTTTGATACCCACCTGGCCAATATGGCAAAACCCCATCTCAACTAAAAATTCAAAAAGTAGCCGGGCATGGTGGCAGGCACCTGTCATCCCAGCTACTCAGGAGGCTGAGGCAGGAGAATCACTTGAACCTGGGAGGTGAGGTTGCAGTGAGCCAAGATTGTGCCACTGCACTCCAGCCTGGGAGACAAAATGAGACTTTGTCTCAAAAATAAAAATAAAATAAAAATGTGTGGCACCTCTCCCCCCCACCTGCTCTCTCTTGCTCCTGTTCTCACCATGCGGAGTGCCTGTGCCTGCTTCACCTTCCATCATGAGTAAAAGCTCCCTGAGGGCCTCACCAGAAGCCAAGCAGATATGAAGCCATGTTTGTACAGCCTGCAGAACCATAAGCCAGTTAATCCCCTTTTCTTTACAAATTGCCCAGCCTCAGAAAATTGTACTAGGAGTGAGATGTTACTATAAAGGCCCCTGAAGTGTGGAAAGGACTTTGGAACTGGGTACTGGGCAGAGACTGGAAGAGTTTGGAGGGCTCAGAGGAAGACAGGAAGATGAGGGAAAGCTTAGAGCTTCTTAGAGACAGGGTAAATGGTGGTGACCAAAATGCTGATAGTGAAAAGGACAGTGAAGTCCAGGCCGATGAGGTCTCACGTGGAAATCTGGAACTCATTGAGAACTGGATCAAAGGTCCCTCTTGTTACGCTGTGGCAGAGAGCATGGCTGTATTGTGTTCATAGCCTAGGAGTCTGCGGACATTTGTACTTAGGAGTGATGATTTAGGGTATCGGGTGGAAGTAAATTCTAAGCAGCAAAACATCTGAGGCGTGACCTGGTTCCTCCTAACAGCCCACACTCAGATGCAGGAGCAAATAATGACTTAAAGTTGGAATTTATATTTAAAGGAAACACAAAGCATAAAAGCTTGGAAAACTTGCAGCCTGGCCAAGTGACACGGCAAGAAAAACATTATCAGGAGAGGAATTCAAGAAGGCTGTGAAGCCACCACTTGCTAGAGATTTGCATGAATGAAAGGGAGGCAGGTGCTGATAACCAAGACGATGGGAAAAAGCCTTCCAATGTATCTCAGGGATCTTTGCCCCTTCCCATCACACGCCACAGGACCCAGGCCTAGGGCCCCACTCTCCTGTGCAGCCTTGGGACATCATTCTCCGCATCCGGGCCACTCACAGGGGCCCAGGTACAGCTCAGGCCACCGCTTCAGAGGGTGGAAGCCACCAGCCTCAGCAGCTCCCCTGGTGTTAACCTGCAGGCATGCAGAGTGCAAGAGCGAAGCTTTGGCTGCCTCCACCTAGAGTTCAGACCCTCTGTGAGAAATCCTGAGGGCCCAGGCCAACGTCTGCTGCAGGGCAGAGCCCCCACGGAGAACAACGACTAGGGGAATGTGAAGGGGAAATGTGGGGTGGGAGGTCCCACACAGAGCCCCCACTAGTGTGCTGCCTGTGGAGCTGTGGGAAGGAGGCCACCGTCCTCCAGGTCCCAGAATGGTGGAGCCGCTGGCAGCTTGCATCCCGAGCACAGGAGAGCTGCAGGACTCAACTCCAGCCCATGACAGCAGCTGGACGGGGCGAACCCTGCAGAGTCACAGGGTGGAGCTGCACAGGGCCTTGGGCGCCCACCCTCACACCAGTGCACCCTGGATGTGGGACAGGGAGTCCAAGGAGATTATTTTGAGCTTTGAGATTTAACGGCTGCCCTGCTGGATTTCAGACATGCATGGGGTCTGCAGCCCCTTCCTTTGGGCGGATTTCTCCCATTTGGAATGGGAATGTTTACTCAATGTCTCCACCCTCATTGTATCTTTTTTGGCCTTTTTTCTTTTCTTTTTTTGAGATGGAGTTTCACTCTGTCACCCAGGCTGGAGTGCAGTGGCACAATCTCGGCTCACTGCAACCTCTGACTCCTGGGTTCATGATTCTCCTGCCTCAGCCACCCAAGTAGCTGGGATTACAGGTGCACCCAACCACACACAGCTAATTTTGTATTTTTAGTAGAGACAGGGTTTCTCCAGTGAGCCCCGCCGACGGTGCCGGGATGGCAGGCGTGAGCCCCGCCCAC